GACTAACAGGGTTTACTAGAATCCCACCACTCCACCACAGAGTCACCGCAGTAGACGTTAGATGAGCGCTGTCGCTATGCGGCACTTGTTATTGTTTAGCTGAATACAAACATGTTTTTATCTAATCTATGTAAGTGGTATTTTGTATTTATGTTTTTATTTCAATAAAATATGTAAGCCTAATATTATATTTCACGTACACATTGGCACATGGCGATAACAGCATAAATTTATTAAATATTCCATAAGACAACCCCACATTTTATGCAATCAAATTTCTTGGACCCCATTTATCATGTTATAACGAGGTTTCTCTGTAGTTTCGAGATTAATTAGGCTAGTTCGAGTTGCGTTGTTCATCGTGAAGTGAACTTTGATCCTTTATAGGGGAGCTCAAATTTATTTTCTTTGCAATAATTCATAATGCGAAGATTTATGTATTTGTGTAGCTTTAAATATCATATGTGTACTGTTATGTGTATATTTGTGCCTTATATATGTAATTGCAGGTTTAGGTTATATGTATACATATATATATATATATATATATATTTGTTCATTTATTTATATTATTTAAGAATGCTGTAATAGGTGTTGTCTTTTTAGATGAAGAGGCCATGAGATCCATTTTAAAGAAGTCAGCAGAGGTGCAAGGTTTAATAAGAATAGGTACGTGTAGGTGTGTGTGTGCGTGCGTGCATGTCGCGTGTGGTGCGCATGTGCGTATGCGTGTCTGTATTGAAACAGCAATTTATTTGATAGGTAATGATATGTGCCCAAAACCTTTATAATTATAAAGCTCTTACTTTTCATTGTAGGTGATGTTCACTCCTTTTAATAAACCACTTTATTATGCAATTCATTTCAGGATATGATATTGTGCCCCTTAATATTATCATATTATCAAGTGAAATTATCAGGATTTAAAATTGTTGCACACACTATAGACAATCACCAATACCATGTGTGTCAATGTGCTTGAATAGCAATTAGTTCAATCATATTAACAATAATTAAAACAAGTATGTTTTCCTATTGCAGTGATAAAGTGAGTTCGGGCTTCTAACCTTGTGAAATGTATCCTAAAACTGTTATGATATATCCTTTCTGTGTACAGACTGTACCTAGTGCTACATATCATCAGGAGTAGATAATAGGGAAGGAGTGTGACTTCAATAAACAAGGGAAATTCGTCATTTACTAGCCTTAGAATTCAATACCTACGATTTACTACGCGTAACTCAACCAACTTGAGCTCAAATCGTACACAGTACATTCGCCTAGCATCGTGCGAAATCGTTTCCTCGTACACACCCGCAATCCGGAGATACAGACGAAAATGTACGACACGATTTTCCATTATGTTGCCAGCAAACTGAATGTGTAAACCGCCTAACTCGAAACAAAGGGCAGCTGTAAATAGGTCAAAGATTAGCTCAGCGAGCCACACCGCATCGCCGAGGGCGCAAGAGTTGTTAGTAGCTGCCTTTTGTTTCGAGTTAGGCGGTTTACACATTCAGTTTGCTGGCAACATAATGGAAAATCGTGTCGTACGTTTTAGTCTGTATCTCCGGATTGCGGGTGTATACGAGGAAACGATTTCACACGAAGCTAGGCGAATGTACTGTGTACGATTTGAGCTCAAGTTGGTTGAGTTACGCTTAGTAAATCGTAGGCATTCTAAGGCTAGTAAATGACGAATTTCCCTTGTTTATTGAAGTCACACTCCTTCCCTATTATCTACTTCTGATATCATATAAAGGAAATAATTATGAAACTGTCTTATGGCATTCATATATCACCATGTAATAGCTTCCATATCAGAATCTATTACTTGATATAGGCTCTGTTGGAACAAAAACCAAAGTTACCGAAAAAGCTATGCTGCATGTGGCTGGTGATGTCCAAAAAAACAGTGGATGATGATACGTGAATCTGGGTGTAATGAAATTGTCTATGAATTTCTTTTATGATTTGATATCAATTGATAATAAAGTATGCTCAGGTCTCTGAGTAGTTCTGTATACAGCTGTGTGCTATGTTGAAACGGTGCAACGTGTCGGCGTTTTGTAGATTCTGCTGTTCAGCAACGTGAATTGCCTCTCAACTACGACCGAGAGATGGTAGAGTTCACACGTGAGGAGAGACTAGCCATGCACCAGTATGTCGTGAATAAGGGCAAGGAGCTAAAGAAGCAGCAGATAGAAATCGGTGACTTCATGATCGACTGGGATGCAATCGATGCCAAGAAGGAAGGTACATAGGCTGTATGACCCGAAGTGTTCCTAAAAGATAACACTATCTCAGCTATTACCATTGTTAATTTGTGAATTTATCCATGCTGCATGCCAATTTTTAAACTTGTGCTATCAATGAGAAGTGATTAAAAACCTGCATAAAACTGCATTTTTTTTATGCGCGATGTGATGCTTGTGTGTTACCACGCGATCTCGCAGACACGGATCGTCCGAAGAGTCTCTTGGAGCAGAGAGCAGAGCAGCGGGACTACAAGCGCAGGCGACAGACGTATCGTGCCAAGAACGTTCACATAACACAGAAATCCTACACAGAGGTGCGTACGTTGCCACTGACCGGGTCAAACCCGAGCACCACATAATAGGGAACGGAGTTCTTAGAAATTCCTCTCTAGTTGGCTCTATTGCTCGAGTCTAGCACGAGACTCATTAGTGTGTTAAGTTCAAAAGCTGTGCTAGCATTTGTGAAGGACTTTAGGTACGAATTCATGACATTAGCTCGAATATATTCTAGCATCAATACCAGAGCCTGTTATATTGTTACACACACGTTGCGTGCGTGCGTGCGTGCGTGCGTGCGTGCGTGCGTGCGTGCGTGCGTGCATGTGCTTGTTCGTCATGTGTGCGTGCGTGTATATATTCGTATACGTTTATACAATATGTTTCAGTCTTGATGCTAGACGTTTTAGGAGAGTTCTATTTCATAATATAGACATAACAATGCAGTTCTGAAGCGATGAGTGACCCATTTGTAATCCCGAGGTGATTTGATGCATAAGGTCATTCGCGACGTCATCGCCAATCAGACCGAGCTGCTGGAGAGTGTTTTGAGCAGTGCTGCAGCAACTGGGGGTAGACCCAGTATAAAGCAGGAGCAAGTGGACGATGACTACCCGGACGCCAGCCAAGATAGGTACACGTACGCTGAACTCAGGCCTATTGTTCCCAGGGGAGCGCTCATAGGTCATTGATGACTCCTCTCCATCACTTTTCCGTTCTTCTACTAATTTATCTCAATTATTTAACAAACTCATTTATCCGGTATCATTATGCTGGTTTTATTACGATCCTCCTTTTTCCGGGAATCGCGTGGGTGCCCACTCTATTTTAGTGTGCAAGCTCCAGGATAATGATTACCTTGTGATGTTGAATGGTGATTTTTAAAGGCGTGGCAACCTTTCTAGCTTTTGGACAGTGTGTGCACTGCATCCTCCATTTCACGCAGAGGATCGAAGCGTAACTTCAAAGTACTCGGTTTTATCACGAACTTGACTCACAGTGACCGTAGACGAAATCCAGTTCGGATTTAGGATGTCGACGACACGATTTCATCGAACAAACTCGCGTGCGTTTTCAGGACGTCGTCAGATCGCGTCGGGTGTGGCAGGGACCAGCGGACTTCCCGCGGTGACCGTGTGAAGGCAGAGGGGCGCGTGTCAGAGGAGCAAGACGACAGTCGGGACACCGAAAGGCATCGACAAAGACGCAGACACAGGCACAGCCGTGAGAGAGACACCAGCGAAGGTGGGGAGATGGATCGGCATCCGTACCGGGAAAGACGTAGTAGAGACATAGATCCCAGCGATGGTATGGAAATGGATCAACGTCCACGTGGCGAAAAGCGTAGCCGAGAGAGAGACCGCAGCGAAGCTAGAGAGACGCTACAGAGGCATAGGAAGAGGAGGTCGAGGAGTAGGTCACGATCCAGCAGCAAAAGCAGCAGCAAGCCATCTGCTAGACGTCACGGGAGCAACACGGACAAAAACAGCGACAGGTAAGATGTGGTACCATGATGTACAAATTTCTCGCTTCACCTAATCTCGGAACTACGCTGCCAAGTAATATAGGAAACTATGAAAAGAGTACAATTAATTTATAGCGATATAATAATGGAGTTATGTGAGTATAGTGAAAAATTATTGACAGTGTTTTTAGCTCATCTAACGTAGTCTGATGCAGCTTGTAGAATCGCATGATCGTCCGTCCGTCCGTGCGTCCGTCAACAGTTGGGCACAAATCTTAACCGCTCGACGTACGGTCACGATATTCGGGACGTGGTGGGGTAATCCGTAAACGAGTTGGGACGTCAAAGCTGGAGTCAAAGGTCAAGAGGTGTAAAAGAAGGGGAACATTTCAACATTCCCTCCTTAACTTAAGGTATAGGGAGGAAATGCAGAATTGCTGCATAAATCTAAACGGCTCGACCTAGGCTCGTGATAGTCGGTGTATAGCATCATGGTAGGAAAAGCCATCACTGTGCCGAAATTGGAGGTCACAGGTCAAAGGCCTCAATGGGCGCCACAGGAGCCATGATTTTAGGACATATTTCATGAGCGACATGGTCTTGACGGAGCGCATTGAAAAACGCTTTTTGTTTCAGCGGTGACCTAGGCTATGTTTTATGGCTTTATTGAAGAGGACGATGGAAGATGGTACTTTCTGACTGAACATGACGAAGAGCAGTAAGTGTTGCGATAACGCTTTTGACCTCAAGCAGGAGGGTTAAACATGGATTTTCGTTTACTGTTAGAAAGAATTGACTTGCCGGTTTTGCTAGCAAATCTATACATGCCTGGATGTATGACGTACAATGTCACAGTGAAATTTCAAAGCTAAATTTTGGTTGAAGAAAGTTTATTGCTTTTTTCCCTTAAATCGTATTAATTTTCTATGCTTTCTGTTATTAGTCATGTAGTGTTACATGTAACTTTATGCCACTGCCAGTTCTGCATTGTAGTTGGTTAATAGTACTTTGGTGTAGTTTTTGACCTGCGTTTTAATTAGTTTACAGGTGGCCAGCTTGTCTCTTATTCAGCCTTAGGCTTTGCCGTAGGTAAGTGGATGAGTGCTTAACCTTTCTGTCTTGCAATAGTTTGTTGCTACTACGTACGATGGGGAGTTTCCATTCTTTAATCTTAAGACACTCAAACCTGTACGCGCCATTCGTTGGCGCAACTTTCATACGATCCCAACGAACTTCTTGAGAAGGTTCCTGATACCATCCCTGTGCCTTCCACTGTTTCGGCAGGTGTATTGTGAAACAATTTGGGATACAAGCGGTTTACTAGAATCCCACACTCCACCACAGAGTCACCGCAGTAGACGTTTAGTATGAGCGCTGTCGCTCCGCGGCACTTTGTTTACTAGGTCCTATTGCGCATGATTTTCAAAACGGTTAGCCATGCTAATGCATTGAAGTCTGCCTTTGGACCGCATTTTCTCCGCATGTTAAAGCTGTTTCTTTAATTTTGTTCTTATTAGATCTCCAACAAGTGCCGTCAGCAACGAACAGCGCTCGCCTGCGGCAGGTGTTCTGATGCCTAAACTTCACTCGGCAAACGAATGCAAGAGACCTCCCATCAGTGGGCCATCACTGTGTTTCTGCGCTCAGGAGCATATAATCTAGGATACTACTAATACAAGACTAAAATCTATGATAAGCTAGGCTTTGCTATACGGTAGCTACCAGTTAATTAAAAAGATACAGCCTGCTGTAACTTTAATGACTTGCTATATTAAACATGTTATCATGGATATTGATCGAGCGCGCAGCATGTGGTGGTGGTGGCGGGGAGATGTGGGGGGAGGAGGCGGGTGGAGGGGGCTCTATAGAAAAGCAGTTGCTGCGAGATGGCGCGTGCAAGTGTCATCAATAATCAAAGTGCATCACCCTTCTGTGCGTAATAACCTCACTCCATTGAGTTGCTGAAATCCAAGTATATTCAGGCAGGCGAGAATTCGCTCAGCTGTGAGTTAATACATCTGCCATTGCAGTGGTTGCCAGGCAATAATTATGATTAGAATCCATGATTAGTGCCAGTTCACCCCCATGCATGCGTAATGGGCTGCCCCATGTTTTTGCCTACCCACGCGAGCATTCAGGGTTCATTACAGTGTGCTAATACAGAGTGCTACTCAGGGTGCTAATACAGACTGCTTTAGAAAATAATATGATTTAAGGAGCGTAAACCTTGTTCAACAAACATTTGCCTTTGCAATTGAACTGTGCAACTGTAGCCTCACATCCACAATAGCAAATGCAGTTCAGTCCTTTGTTAACAGTCAACAAATCAATGTTTAACCCTCCTCTTGAGGGTCAAAAGGTTATCCGACACTTACTCTTCGCATGTCAGCAGAAAGTACATTTCATGGTCCTTTCAATAAAGCCATAAAAATGCTAGGTCAGTGCTGAAACCAAAAGTTTTTCAGTTTTTCAATCGCTCCGTCAGACCATGTCCTCAGAAAATGTCTAAAATCTGCCCTGTGCCCCATTGACCTGTGACCTCCAATTTCGGCACAGTGATGGCTTTTCCTACCATGATGCTATACACAGACTATCACGAGCCTAGGTCGAGCCGTTTAGATTTGTGCCGCAATTCTGCATTTCCTCCCTATATCTTAACAGACCTGCCAACCCTTACGATTTTTTCGTATTCCTTACGAATTCCATGATGTTTCTACGAATGTACGATCAAACTGAAAAACTTACGATTTTTTACGACTTGTGGAAATTAATGTTTTTTACATTGTGAGCCGAGAAATATCTGGCGATTGTAGGCGCAGCCATATTGGATCACGCGTTCACGTTGTTCTCTCGTGATCTAGAGTTAGTCCCATCATTCATTGCGCGCATAACATACAAACAAAATGGCCGCCTGCTGCAAGAAAAGAAAAGCCTTACTATTTTCATGAATCACAGGTTGGCAGGTCTGTCTTAAGTTAAGGAGGGAATGTTCCCCCTTCTTTCACACCTCTTGACCTTTGACCCCCCAGCTTCGACATCCCAACTCGTTTTCGGATTACCCCCCCACTTCCCGAACATCGTGACCGTACGTCGAGCGGTTAAGATTTGTGCCCAACTGTTGACGGACGGACGCACGGACGCTCATGCGATTCTACAAGCTGCATCTGACTATGTCAGATGAGCTAAATATGAATGTGGATCCATGAGAAATCGCAAACGGTGGACAAAAACGACAGTGTCATCTACGGTTTTCACTCGATGAGGAGCAAACGTGGCATTTCAATCGACATTGCATGCAAACTTCTTTTACTATTAAATCATCTCATCCTTCTTTTGCACTGCAGTAGTGTTGAGAGTCACAGGGACGACGAACGGAAACGGCACAAGAAGAAGCACAAAAAACACAAGCATCACAAGTCTCGCAGGTGACCTCTAAACGTCTCAGCAACATCTACTGACCTGCTCGTCATGATACGTGCCACTCTCGTGCAACAAGATGCTGCTGCACATAATGGTATCAAGAGTCCATAATAAAAATTCTTCTAAACATTTCTATTATGGATGATTCTTGATGATATGTCACTTCAGTTTAGATGCTAACCTAATAGACTTTCGAGAATCCGAATTTGCGATTACCCTTTCTGATTTTCTATGATTTTTTAAACAAATTCTAGAAAAATAAATGATGATCAAAGCAAACCAGCTTGTATGATTTATAATTAATGAAGTGCTTATTAGTGTTGAATTTGCTCTGATAACAACGCTGCACGTGACAAGTATGGCTGTTGTGTTGCGGCTTATTAACGATTTTACACAGTGTACAGTACATTAGTCAAGTAGAAGCAACAAAAAGTAATGTGAGCGATGAGCCCACACAGGCATACTATAACTGCAAGAATATATTACAACAATGCAGCAGAAATAATTGAGCAGACATCTCTTTTCAAGGAGATGGAGACAGAAATAGACAACCTGCAGTGTAATATTCGTTCTAATGTAAACAATTTATTAGTACTGATTTCGCATCTTTACCTAAAATTCTTTCTTGTATTATACATTTGGACATTACACACTTTATACAGAAGTACCAATGGTTCTTAGTAAACATTCTCATCACTTGCTACCTTATCCAACGCAATGTGCAGGAGACTGTTAAACTCATTACTCGGGGGGGGGGAACTTTCCATGAGATTCGCTTTACACGGGTGGATGTTGACGATCACAATCGCTAAATACGTGGCATTCCCCAAATACGTTGCATCACAGAAACCAGTGATTGGGGCAAATCTTTCACAGCAGTCATCAAATATTGGCAAGTATGGTCATGAGTGTGTACGCAGTGATCAATCACATTTGTTGTGTGATCATTTGGGTCCATCAAGAGAATGGCATAGCAAACAAATCCAGATTACGGCCAGCTGTGGTTTTCCTTCCTATTATTTCAACATAAGTAACTACTCTGGGCAAGGGTATGCATTAAAAGGTGTTTATGTATCTATAGAGTATGAGTCTGACGTGACAAGAAATTTATTGAAATATATAATAAAATGTGGCCGACTCGTATTTGTCGGCAATATGGTAGAAGGACAATACTAGAGAGCATTTTGATACGATATTAACAATGCAAATAAACAAAACTTGCCCAACAGATAGTCTGTGGAATGCACTGAGCATGATGTTCACCCACCTATCACAAAACGGTTGCAAAAGTGAGGTTATTAAATGAAAACAGCATTTTCACAAGAACAAATGGATTAAATTCACAATGCAGATAAACCTACTTCCCTCACACACGCAGAAACATGCTAAGAAAACACATTAACATAATTTCATGACGACCCGCCAACAGCAAACCACTCGGTTCATGGACTGTTGATTTATTTAAAGGTACAGCTTATTCCTTGTGCGTATTCAGGCAAAAAGTTGCCAATTGATCTTGATTAAGTCTGATAATTGTATTTGTTGTATTCGCAGCATGTACTATTATTTAGTTTTTCAATCTTAGAGAAGATGGTTTGTGTGCAGTTCTGCTGACTGCACTGGCATCGGATAAAAGCTGCAAAATGTCAAAGTTCTATGGTAATTTTTGGCAGTCACTCGGGTTTTATAGCACAATACGTGAACCTACAGTTTTTGCTTTCATATGTTCACTCACGTAAATTCGCCAGATAAAACGTTGCAGGGCAATGGAAGCAACCATCCTGTAATAAGCCTGCCGCCCTCATCTTTGACGTTTGATGTTGCGTGTGTAAGCATTGGTGTTTCAACTATGGAATGAGACACCACGCACATTACAACACTTATAGTACAGTCCATCTGTGAACACGACCGCTGTTAAGACGACCGCGTTGCTAGTTCTCGCGTCCGACACTAATGACGCAAATGCCTGAGATCGTCAGTGGGAGAAATGACTAGGTGGCCGTCGCAATTTGCGACATTTCTAATCGGCGACGGCCGCAACGAAACCACGCCTCCAACTGCTACGTCTGGTCGGGTTTTCCGGCGTTCGGTTTTGTTGTGTCTGGTTGCGTCTGCTGTGGGCTCATCGTGGGTGCGTCATTGCCTGCGCTCTCATCACCCTCTGAAGAAGCAACGATGAAAAATCGTTACACGTCAGCATGTCGATTGATGCATTATGCAGGTCTGTGTACAATCAATACGAGCAGCGAGGGATAGAGTTGAGGAGGATAGAGGAATAACGCTCGAGAGATCAGTACTGATTGTAACGACCGGGATGAACTACAAACTGGAGAACACGGGCACTCACTACAGACTTGCGTGAGTAGCAGGAATTACCACCGAGAAAGCCAAAATCAATGTTCAGTTGTGGGAGAGCGTGGTTTGGCTTGCCATTATAGTATTTTATGTATCCCTTAGGTCATTTTCGTAAAATATCTACTAGAAAGCAATAATGAAACTCGTAATTATTTAACCATGTTTACTTTAATAAATGATTTTGGGACGTTTTGTTTTCTTACGGCTGTAAGAGATGGACTGCAGAGTATTGACTGTGATGTTCCAGGCGGCTAAATGCTACAACAGTTTACGGTAAATAAAACGTGATAAATGGAAACCTCACCAATAACGAAATAAACGAACAATCAGGGATTGATTGTGGGGACAAGTGATTTTTTCGGTTCATTTTTGTTATGTTTAGCGGAGATTCTCACCGGAACAGGTGAGTTTGTCGAGTGCAGCGGGAAGCCCGGCTGTGGAAAGGGAAGCGTTGTCGTCGTCGACGCTGGTGATGGCGTTGCGTCGGCCTGTGCGGCCGCTGTGCAGAAACAGCTCAAGCTGCTGCGCGTATGCCACGTCAGACTGCATCACGTCATCTTCCTGCTTGTCCACCTGGAAACAACAGAACGTGACATCAGACGATAGAATACCACGTCGGACAATAGAACGCCACGTCAGGCAACATTATATCATCCTCCTGCTTGTCCACCGAGAACACTGGAAGGTGGTTTCTCCGATTTTCCCTCAGAGCAGCTGCTGGTTACCCACATGCAGGCTACTGTTGTTAATGTTATTACGTTAATGCACGTGTGCGGCAGAGGGAACTGCGCTAACGGCTACTCCCCGAGTAAAAGCACACTGCGCAAGAGAGTGAGGTGGAGAAACGCGAGGATGCCCTACAATGCTAATGATTGTCGGCAGCTGACTGTGGCCGTGGATAACTATAGCTTGAGCACTGTATTATGGTGTAACTGGGCGAGTGCACCAGCAGAGTGGCACCTACCTACCTCTGCCATTCCACGAAATGCAACACTGGGACAACACTAGAAGTCTACTTGCTTACGATACCACAGTTTAACTGACTTCTTGCAAATTGTAATTATGCGCTACTGCCTTTTCTTTACTGCTCTACTCTAGCCCCTCCCTCCCCTGGTCACAATTTAGATCATTCACGCTCCAACCCACCAACCCGACAGACAGATGTATTTGTTGACTTCCTCCCTTCGACTCTTGAGAAAAAATGGAACGACCACCAGGTAGCGTGAGTGTACCCTATGTTAAAACTCTCCACTTGGCAGACGTGCTGCATGCATTCATACTACAAGAAACAGAACATGAGCGCATTGGAATACAACGCAAACACGCGCCCTGGAATTGTGGCAACCGTACGTGGCACAGTGCCAAAACATCAATATACAGCTTCGTATATATTTCCACTCCCCGTATTATCGCGTGACTCTAACGGCGCTCATTTCATTAGCAGAGGCAGCGCGGTGCGAAGCAAACACAACTGGGGAATAGGACCTAAGGAACGTGACTGGCAATGGTGTTTGCAAGCCACACCAGTCTCCCGATGGCTAACTCGCTGTATCTATGGCGTTCGTCACATATTTACACACGATATTGCTATAAGCCTCTGCCTTTCTAGAATCCAACTGCAGGGGCGGATTCAGACCGTATTTGCCGTATTGGGAAATACGGTCTAGATTTCAAAGTGCCCTTCGAAATTTACAAAAAATACAGAAAACAATTTGATGGAATTTGGCTATATTCTTTATTTGTTTTCTTTTTCTTCTGATTCATTGACAGGACTTGAAGGAAATCAAAATTTTACATGGTAACAAAACTAGCTTTGATATCTGAAAAAGAAAGGAAGTGCTTGAATCATTCTGCATTAATTGTTGGTATGCAAAGCGCAGGCAAAATGAAGCAGAAATAAAATTCCATATGGTTTTTAGCTATTGTTGCTTGACTAAATGTGTGCTCAAATGGTGCTCATTTTTGTGCCCAGGGACCCTTGAAATTTTGAAATTTTCTGGGGGAGGCCCCCCAGACCCCCCGCGCCGAAAGGCGCTCACTGTGGGGTGGTGTGCCCTTTTTGGGGAATGTGCCCTTAAAATCTGAAAAAATACTGTCTAGCTTCAGCTCTGGATCCGCCCATGAACTGTCCTAATTCCTGATCACGACTGTACCAGGGAAAGTACTGAATTGGGTTTTCAGTGCCTTCTTCGATAGCAGAAAATAAAAATGATTAAAAAACATATATATAGCTTAATTGCCAGTGTATTTTCATCTATTCTCGTAGGGACGATGACCCCCCCCCCTCCATGCATCCAGTATGATTCACGATGCAGTGGCTGCAGTGGCGTATCCAGCATAGGGCGGAGCCGGCGTACGCACCCCTCCCCGTTTGCAGGCCCAGAAAAAAAATCATGAAGTGTTTTAAATCCTAAATTGTAGGGTGGATATAGTGTCATCAGACATCAGAATATGGCCCACAGTATGCCTCAGATTGCAGGAAAATGGCTTAAATATTTAAAAAATTTCCTGAGGGAGCATGCACCCAGACCCCACTAGCGCTGGCGTGCCCACGATACGCTGAGTTGCCTTCGCCTTCGGCAGCCCATGTACATTTCGCCCCCTGTTCATCCAATTCTGGATACGCCACTGGGCTGTGCACAGCTTGCAATTAAAATAAAGGGACAGAGACATTTCATTTCATTTCATCGTAACATGGTATACTACGTTATTTCCTGCTATTATCATTTAAACTTTTTACATGTTGTTACGTGGATATTTAGCGGCAACATATATATATGAACATAAATGAGGACTCCAGTGAGAAGGGATTAGCGATAGACATTTAAGGATCATCAGATTGGAAGACAACTTTAGACACCGGAATCTTTGTGAATAACCAGGATCTCTAGGCGAAACTAGGAAACCACGGATTTCCCAGGAAAATCGATGGACGCTAAGGTATTGCATTATTATTGAGCCTACTAACATTTTTAATTAATCTGCATCAGGAACAATTGTCCCTGTAACACTATTTTAATTATTATTGCACACCTTGGCTCGCTAAATAAATTATGGCAGGAAAATTATGGCACTCATAATTTACCAATTAAAATTAAACTACATGTAGTTCACTTTGTCGCTTGTGCTGTCACATAATTTAGATCAGGTACATATGCATATCTCAGGCACTAATCGATATCGTTATACTTAAAAACACATGTTCATGATTCTTTTAAATTAAATTAATTAATTTTCTTAAGACAATTAAAATCTATATCAGATGTGTACCTTTCAGAATAGACGTGGAACACATGATATATACTCACCATCGTCAGCATACCCAGTTCACATAAATTCGAGGGTTTATGTACACGTTCAACTGGCAGCACTAGCGTTCAGATAAAAACTACTGCAAAAGTCAAAGCTAAATATGGCAATTACTTATATGGTTAAGCGGCTGTTAAGTTATCCCTTCAGTTAAGTCACTCGCCTGTAAATCTAGCGTACTCCGTTCTGCTCTTCGTATGGGAACTAGCTTTGGTGGCTCACGCGCAAGTAAACTTTCACTCAGAAAACTGCCATCCAATTAACAGGCAAGTTTTTGGATTACCCTTGGATTATACCGAACCTCAATTTGTCATGCTCGTGAATGCATGCGTCTCTTGATTGAAAACAGCTGAAAAACTATTTTAAAACTTACACCATTTCTGCAGGTCACATGCAATTAAACAGTATCCATGGTTCTCCAAGGTTGTAATAAGTTGAAATAGTCACCAACAGGTGGTCATTGATTAATTATGGGCATAATATTAACAATCTGAGTTTAAAAAAATGTCCTATAGATAGAGATTTGATAGTTTGCTATGTCTATCTAGCTGCGATAAGCACCTCAGCAAACACCACACCTAGTATCTGCATAATTATATATATTGCCGACACTTATAGGCACTTTCCTCCATGAATATCAGGCTGAAAATCGCCACATTACTGAGCCTGGAACGTCGATTTCTTTTTATAACGTGTCAGACTCTGGAGCAAATTACTCATAACAGCTCCACATACTGCATCCTATCGGGCTATGTGCGACGTTATGATCAATAAATAGGCAATGCACAAGCAATAAGTCTAATTGGTACCTACCTGTTTCTGGGAAATACACGGTCATACGCGCACCGCTAACGGCATTATAGGATTATAGGATACTGAACGCAGGCAGCCGTGATACAGAAAGTAATCATGCTCGCATGTATAGTATCAGGATAGTATCAAGAGCTTATAAAGAAGGCTTCTTTATACGCTCTTGATAGTATGCAATATTTTCGTATTAGTGTCGGATGCTTTACGGATCAAACACCAGAGGATAAACTAATGCATTACTACGCCTAACATATTATGGGAATGGTAAATAATCTCATTAGACATTTGCTTAGTTAATGTTTAATTTAATTTTTTTGTAAAACTTGTGTACGGTAGACGTGTAGCGGGTTGGCTTCGTACTAGGTTGCGTAGGGTAGACGTGTAGCAGGCTTCGTACTAGGTTGCGTAGGGTAGACGTGTAGCAGGCTTCGTACTAGGTTGCGTAGGGTAGACGTGTAGCGGGCTTCGTACTAGGTTGCGTAGGGTAGACGTGCAGTGGGCTTCGTACTAGGACTATAGTTGGAGAGAGCTCTCCGCGTTGCTGTCTGCTTGTCTGCCCGCGCCGCGACGTGTGTGGCAGAGCCCGTATTTAAATCGTCGCTAAACCGGAGAGCGACAGCGCGTGTTTGTGAAGAGTGTGTGCGTGCTTGCCGCTTTTTAACGACTAAAAACCGACATCCTGAAATCTTTAAGCCTCATGCCAGCCATCCGGTGCTTCACTCCTGCACTCACGATGCGCAATAATAAATGCCCGCAGAGCACGCGTCGCAAACACGCAGACGCTAATTACAGTATCAGTTCCGCTCACCAGAGACGTCACCGAAACAGCGGCATGATAACACTGCTCAGACTACTCAATTATTCGCTGTCACACACGTCTACTCTCCATTCGCACAGCATTTCATCGACAGTTGCGCCGCCGACACCTCGGCACCTTGTAGCTCGCCAACCCTGTCCGCGTCATTCACTGCTCCCACCCCAGCTGAAACTTAATCAACTATGGTCTCAGCACAGCTGGCAAATGCTGGAAATGACAGGGATCAACCGGCGACACCGTCTCCTGATGAGAAATCAGCAAGTGTTCGCCTGCCAATGCCATCAGTAAAAAAACGTTTAATAGCCACGAACATCTGTGGCCACACGGAGACCATATAACCAGGGGTGAATAATGACGAGTTTTTCATTATTCGCCCCTGGTAAAACGTGGGCGTCCTCACAGCTATAAGTGCGTTTTCCTCAGTGCACTGAAACCTTATCGAGACTGAAAGCTGTAATGGACGGAGGGAGGCTACGGTAGAGGGAAATTACACAGCTCGCAGCATGATGTGATGAACTTTCGGCAACTTACGAAAACCTTCAAAAACGTTCTAGGCTGACATTCCTGATCACACTCACAGGCACTTGGAACGTTAAAATGATGGTAAATAAACACGAAATGTATTTAGTACCAAAGT